CAGAGGGAGGTAGGGAAGTGAGGTCAAAGTCAATAGCGGGGTTTGTGTCCTGACGGCTGGCTTTACAGTCCTAATGAGGCCTAAACATCACACAGTCCTTTTTGGCTGAACTCAGTTTCTCATGAGGCTCTGTATCTGCTCTGGCAAAAGCCGGCCACATGGCAGGAGTGGTTTCCACTTCCTCTGGCCGATGAATTATCAAGGGTATTCTCTGACTTTCTTTTTTGGGAAAAGAAAGCTTTGGAGTAGAAAATGCTCTCTTCTATTTATATCTACTCTTCTCTCTCTGATCAGAGAGATGATACATTTTGGGGAAGGACTCAGGCCCCCAGTGCTCTGTCTTTATTTAGAAGGGGGCATGGTTAAGATGGCATTTCTAAGATCATCCGCTCTGCTCTCGGTCTTTATCTGGTCTTTCAGGGAGGGTGTGAGATCTAGGGTTGTCTTTTTGAATGTTTTCAGGATTGTTGGAATAGCCACACATTTTGTGTCAAGCTCTGTGCTCGGTGCTAGGGACACAGAAATCCAGTAAGGGATTAAGAAAGTGCTCATGTTCTCAAAGAGCTTATAAATACAGAGATTTGTACCACCAGCTTGTCTGACGGCTGTCGGTAACCAGAGTACGGGGTTAAGAATAACTGGCTTTTGACTAGATCTTTCATACGATTATATCCTATGGGCCCACAATCGCCCTGTGGCTAGGTGCTCGGGCACCCACTCACCTCTCAGCCTCAGTGTGAGGACCACAGCTGGTCCAGTTCCAGTCCTCTGGCTCCAAGCCCTGTGCCAGCACCTCCTTATTGGAGTTTTCTCCTGGTGAATAGTGCTGGCCTCCTCCTAAGCCTTCTCAGGCACACAAGAATTTGCTCATTTTTTATCAGAAACTATATCCTGCTCCCATTTCCTGCTCTTGCTCATTTTTAAAGACCCAGATCAAACACAACATCCTTGGTGAAGCTTGTCCTGTCTCCCCCAGGCATGGGGAGCTCCATCTTCCTATAGCTCCTCTAGCTTTTGGCATATAGAATAGTCATATTAATAAGGATAATAGGAGTAACGTAGTAAAAAGGTCTAAGTTACCATTTATTGAGTGTGTCTATGAGCCAGGTGTCATGCTAAGTGCCTTACATGCATTATTCAATGCTCAAAAGAACCCGCGGGAGATACTGTGATTATCCTCGGTTTACAGATTCTATCAGGTAGGAGTTGCGTTTGGCTGTGTGTAGCAAACTGTCCACAGTGGCTTCACCAAATGGGAACTTATTTTGCTCAAATAACAATAAATTAGAGGTAGATGGGCTAGGCTGCTGTGATGGGTCCGCAGTACCACCCCTAGCATGTAGCTTTTGTTACTGTGGACACAAGATATCGGCTGTTTTTCCAATCTGTGTTCCAGTCAGGAGGAGGGGTAAAGGACAAAGGGCAAAGGATGAAAGAGCCTTTTCTTCCTGCGGTTTTCTCTTAATCGTTGGGAAGGGACGCTATCCCCTACCTATATCTCCCTGGCCAGACTGTGTCATGTGGCCACGCTTAGCAGCCAGGGAGCCTGAGAATTCTCTTTTTCCTCCTTTCTCTTTTTAAAGCTGGGCAGATTTGTGCCCTGAACAAAAATGGGGTTCTGCTGGTAAGGAATAAGAGGAGAATGGATATTGGGTTGGGAACTACCAACGCTTGTCATACAAATGAAGAAACTGGGCCTTAGAGACGCTAAGGATCTTGTCCAAGTTCAGAGATATGGCCAAGTCAGGCTCAACCCCACATCTGTTTGACACCAGAGGCCATGTTCTCCTCCACAATGAGAGATGACGTCCTTATCATGGTGCATTACAGTTGTCTTTTTATTTGTTCATCCCTGCTGCCCTAGACTGTGAACTCCTTGGTACCAGGAATCAATTTTATTCATCTTGGTATCCCGCACTTTTGCTCACAGTTTGTCAAAGGGAGAAATGAATAAATATTAGGACTTCAGTAGTTTCTGCAGCTAAAAATTCTCTCAAGGAAAACATTCTTCAATTGTCCTCTTCCTTTGTAGTGTTTTATAATCACCTGTTCCCAAACAGGTAGCTGCAGATGTATATGAAAGAAATGATCCTGGTCTTTGCGCCATGGGCACATTGGGCCGCTTCGACTATTTATAGGCTTCTCATCTCTCTCTCCCTGAGTGCTTAATGCTTGTTTACAGGGCAGGGTCCAGTTTCTCTTTGTTCTGCCTGGTCATTCAAACATTCCTATCCCGCATTGCTCTATTTCTTGGGGAAATGTGTGCTACTTGAATAACAATAATTTGAGTCACAAGCAGTCCTGATCCCAAATATCATTACTTGCTGGGTCATGGAGCAGCCCAGAAAGGGCCCAGCGTCATTTTGATTTCAGTATTTTGGCAAGGCAGGTGGAAAGGAGAGGAGGATTCTTAAGATACTAGTTTAGAAAGTCAAATTTTCTGAAAACCAACCACTGAGGTCCCTAGGTTAAAAAAAAAAAAATGCCATTGTTGTTTCATAGGCTGCTAGGAAACATTCTGATTTTTCTTCAAAGCCATAATGCTCTGAACAGGATCAAGGCCCATCTGCTGTGGGGTACTGCCAGCTGGGACCCTTGAGTTAGGCTGGGGCTGCCTAATTCAGCTCAAGAACAAGCTTGCAAGCACTTGGACTTCCCACTTAATGGTCCAAACAGCTGATTAAGAGATGTCTGGGCTTCTCTTTCCAACCTCATGGACCCCCATCAGTAGCTTGCTATCGCTAAACACAGGAGATGATAAATATTTAGCATGTATTAAGCAGTTCCTATATGTTAGGCTCTGTGCTAAGTGCTTTATTTTGTCTCATTTCATCCTGAGAACTATACTGGACTATTATTGTTATCTTAACAACAAGGAATGCAAGGCTTAGTGAAAATAAACGATTTGCCCAACACAGTGGTTGCACCAAGGGGTGACTTGGGGAGCATTGTCTGCCCATTCTAATCTCTCGCGGCCCCACTGAAACCACCTTATGCAACTTAAAAAACCCAATGGTAGTGATAATGATATCCTTTGATATCTCAGCAATAATCTTTTCAGGAAGGTAGTATTATTCTCCTAATTTTCAGATGAAGAAACTGAGGCACAGAGAGGCTAAGTAGCTTTTACAAGACACCATGACTTGTAAGTGGCAGAGCTAAAACTTGGGTACCTTTATTGATCTATAACACAGCCTAGGTAGAAACAATGTGTTCGCTACGAAAACTCTAGTCTTCCCTTCCAACCGGTCTGTAGGCCCTAAACCCCTTCTAGGCAGAAATTCATGTCATCACTGGTCCAACATCACATGGACAAAGCCTGGATTCAAACCTGGGTTGGTCTGACTCCCACACAGGGATCGATCGTTACCACTGTGCTGTTCCAGCAATTGCCAGGTTAAACCCAAGTTCAAAGGACAAATCACGGACCCGTCTGGAAACGACTTTAGAAATCATCTAACCCAGGTTTCTCAACCTCAGCACTGCTGACATTTTGCGCTGGACAACTATTGTGGGGACTGTCCTGTTTATCATAGGATAGCGAACAACATTCCTGGCCTCTAATCACTAGATGCCAGCAGCAGCCCCCAGTTTAACAACCAAAAAAGTCTCCAGATGTTGACAAATGTCCTGCCGGAGAGGGAAAGGGGCAAAATCACCCCTGGTTACCAACCGCTGATCTAAACCACCTCATTTTACATGTGATGGAGTCGGGGTCCAAAGAGATGAAGTAACTTGTTTAAGCTAGCTAGTAGAATCCAGGTGGTTCATGCAACATCATTGTCTCCCTCTAACGTACAGGGCACAATATGGACCCAGAGAAAATAGATGCCCTCGTGTCCGGTACGAAAGAGAAACTATTACACGAATATCTCTAATTGCACGAAGTTGGTAAGCAACAAGGTGTTACACAGGCAGCAAAGTGTAAAGAAAGGGAATATGATCTGGTGTCCTGAGATGTGGATCTGCCACTTTTTCGCTGCAGGACTTAACCAATCTTCAGGTTCATCATTAATGAAACAGAGATCCTGGGATCTGCTCTGCCTACACCATCAGCTTCAAAACGGGTCTGTGAACGCATTGTGTAAACTGTAAAGCTCTTAAAAAGAGCAGATATTATTAAGATGATCAGGAATGTGATAATAATTACGATCAGAGTAAAAACTTTGAGAACTGAGGAGAGCCATAGAGTGGTGGCTTCACTCCTGAACCTTCCAACTGGAGATCCCCATTCTCCTGCGGGAGAGTGAGCAGACCGAGTCCCCTCCCACAGAGCGCCTCTCCCACCGCCTGAAACCAACGTGGCCAGAAGGGCGAACCCTGCACAGCTCTTCGGCCCGGCGCCCGGGCCTCTCAAGCTCCGCCTACTCGAGGCTGTGGCCCCGCCCTCAAAGGAAACAGACTCCGCCCCCTCCGTGCTGGCTGGAACTCCAGCGACTCGGCGCCTCCAGGACCATCCCTCGCCCGTGCCGGAGATTCCCGAACTTCCCCGATCTCTTCCCGGCCTCTTTCGGGCGCCCGGAGCGACGGCGGCGGAGATCGCCGAGGGGCACTGGCCCCGCCCCCTCCGCCGGCTCGGCCACCGCCCCCTCCGTTTCCCCCGCCCCGCCCCCTCCTCCCGCGCAGGCTGGAGTCCCAGATCCCGGTCCCTCCCTCCTCCTTTCTCTCTCCCCGCCTTCCCGGGGCTGCCACAGTGGCGGGTCGGCGGATCCCGGCCAGTCAGCTCGTTCCTGCCTCGGGCCCCTCCTCCCCCCAAATCGGCACCCCTCCCCACGCCTCGGGAGCCGGACCGCCCCCTTCCTCCCTCGGCCGGCGTGGGGTGAGGGCCGGTGTGAGGGAGCGAGCGCGGGCCGGCGGGCGGGCGCCGCGAGGGCGAGAGGCGGGCGGGGCGCGCAGCGGGCCGGGCCGGGGGCGGCGTGTGCGCGGGGGCGCGAGCGAGTGCCCGTCGCGACCCGCCGGCGGCCCCGAGCAGCGCAGCCGGCGAGCGACGCGCGGCGAGCGCCAGGCGCGGAGGGGCGGCCGGCCCGCGCGCGCGCACGCACGCACGCAGGCGGGGCGGGGGCAGGCGCGCGGCCGCCTGTCGCGACAGTCGGGGCCGAGGCCCAGGGGGAGGTGGCCTGTCGCGGGTCGCCCGGCTCCCGGAGGCGAGGGGGGCGCGGGCGGATGGCGGAAGGCGCCCAGCCGCAGCAGCCGCCTCAGCTCGGGCCCGGCGCCGCCGCCCGGGGGATGAAGCGGGAGTCGGAGCTGGAGCTGCCGGTGCCCGGAGCGGGAGGAGACGGAGCCGAGCCCGGCCTGAGCAAGCGGCCGCGCACCGAGGAGGCGGCGGCCGACGGCGGCGGCGGGATGCAGGTGACCGCGCGGGACGGGCGCCGGTGGCCGCGGGGGCGGCCCGGGGCTCCCGGGCTGGAGGGGCGGGCTTCCAGGGGTCCCGGCTGGGCGGTGGGAGGGGCGGGTCGGGGCCTGGTTGGGAGGTGGGGCGCTCCGGCCTGGAGGCGAAGGGTGCGGGAACCCCTGTGTGCCCACGAGGGTCCTGATTCCAGAGGGGACCAGGGGGCACGACGCGTGACTAGGTTTTGGGGGGAAATCGAACATGGTTGAGATGGATTCCATTTCTCCCAGCCCTTCCTTGGTTCCTTGGCGGGGAGTGGGAGCCGGGAGATCCTGGGTCTGTTGCCCAGAGAGCAGCTGGACCGAGTCGAGGACGGGGGGACAGTGGTGGGAAACCTCCCAAGAGGGAGGAGTACCTTTTGGCATCCTCGACACACACTGGGATGGGGAAGCAGCGGCATATAAAGGAGAGGGGGTGGAAAGCGAGAAAACTCCTCGAGAGCCCAAAGGGGATGTGGCTTGGGTTGTGGGTTAAATCAGTTACACAAGGAGTGTGAGAAGTACAAGGAGTTGGGTAGTGTTGGGACACCGTGGTGCTCGTCTCATTAACTTTATGGAGCATGCTTATGAGTCTGAAGAGAGACGCGGGACATGCCCCTCCTGTGCTTTTGCCAATTGCATCTTGGACCAGCTCTTTAATGTCCTGGGGTATAAAAGAAAATTTATAGAGCTGTTAGAGACTGGATTCTGAGTCGTGGACTCAAGCATAAGCTGGTAGATTTGGGTAGGGAATGAGAAATGGAGCGATGATGTCACTTGACTTTGAGGAAGACCGTGAAACGTTTGTACGTTGTAGGATTTGGTTTCTCTTCAGAAAATACTTTCTATGAAATGGTGGGGCTCACCTACCAGCAATTGTTTAGCCATCTGCCTCATTCTCTTAGAATCGTAGAATGTTAGAGATAGAAGGGACCAGAGACATCATCTTTTCCAGGGCTTCTTCCTGGATAGACTTGGAAGATTCTTCTGCAAAATAGTTTATGTGCACTTTTTGGTGGGGGAAAGTCAGTAGTTTTCATCACTTTTTTGGAAGGGGATTCAAATCCCTAAATGTTTTAACCATCTCATTTTGTAGATGGGGAACCCAAAGTCCAGAGACCAGTGACTTGCCTAAGGCCACCCAGTTAGCTGGTAGTAAAGCTCAAACTAGAAGCCTCATCTTCTGATTCCTATTTCTGTGCTCTCTCCATTACACCACTCTTGGAAATCTCTGCAGCGCCAAAAGATTTCCTGTGCTCTGGTCCCTGCTCTGCACGGCTCTGCCTGACTTCCTGTGTTTGAGAGGGAGCTGTGTGGAAGCCTGGCATGTTTGCTGTGTGCTTCTTCGTCTCCTTTGCAGAGGCCACTCTGTTACTTGTGTTGATTTGGGTAAAGTGACCCTCTTGGTGTTTATTTTTGAATTCTTTTGTTTTGTTTGCCTGCTTTTGTTCTCCATTAGAACTCTGTCTGGCAGACGGATTGGGAGAAGTCAAAGCTTAGGGCCGTGGAAAAATAGAGAGGGATATGGGGAGGCTTCAGGGGAGGTGGGTTAACATTGGATGATAAGGAGAGGAGGCGGGATGTGGGTGCTGGTGAGCGTGTTCTGCTTGGTGTGTGCATATGTGTGTGTGCCTGTCTGTATTCTTTTATTGTCTCTGTCGGTTATGGTTAATAGACTCTACCTCCCTCACCCCTGCTGTCCTCCTGGGTCCCATTATTTGCTGGTTGCCTTCAAATTGGCTAAGGGTAGTAGTGTTTGGGAATGGAGCGGTGTATGGGGACTTGGGAGTATGCAGAGGAAGGAGTGGATTAGGTCCTTTGGGTGCAAATGGGCACCTGAGAACTATCCCACAGAGAATGTTTTTTTCACTCTGTGTCTTTGTGGATCTTTATTTATTTTTCACTTTCTGCACTCTCATTGTTCTAGTTCCAACACACCATGTCACACAGGTATTCAAATCATCATTGATTTAGCCCCCTGCCTTCAACTAGCTGTATGGTTCTGCGAAAATCTTTTCTTTTTTTTTTTTTTTTGAGGAAGATTAGCCCTGAGCTAACGTCTGCTGCCAATCCTCCTCTTTTTGCTGAGGAAGACCCTCAGCTAACCTGAGGCCCTGAGCTAACATCCATGCCCATCTTCCTCTACTTTATATGTAGGACACCTGCCACAGCACGGCTTGCCAAGTGGTGCCATGTCCGCACCCGGGATCCGAACCGGCGAACCCCAGGTCGCAGAGAAGCGGAACGTGCGAACTTAACTGCTGCGCCACAGGGCCGGCCCAGATCTTTTCTTTTTGGGCCTCTGCTTCCTTAGTTATAGAATAAAGTGTTTATACGGGATGATTTCTAAGTTACCTTTTAAAAAATATGTCAATTTCCTTGACCTTAAGGTACTTGGTGCTTACAATCTAGAGGGGTAAACGAAATGGGTGAAAAGTTAAAAAAAAAAAAGTGTGTGTGTGTATAGGTGTGATTTTTTTTTTTTTTTTTGATAAGTTCCAGAGGAACAGAAGAAGAGATACTGCAGGATAGTTGCCCATCACAAAGCATTGCATAGTTTAGAGCTAAAGTATGCAGGAGGTTTGTGCCACTGGGTCCAGAACAAGGAGATGGACTTTCTCCCTGAAATGGTCCGGGAAGGCTTTACGGGGAGGTTGAAATTTGAGGTATAATCAGGAGTAGAGGAGAAATAGTGTTCATGAAAAGATAAAATTGAAGCGTAGGTGACCTACACCTGTAGGACTTTGCTGTATCATTCTGATAATAATGATAGAATATTTCATAGTCGTTTAAGTAATGTTTATTGAGCAGCTGCTATGTGCCAGGCACTGTTTTAGAGCCTGGAGATATGATAGTGAACAAGACAAAGAATGCTCTCATGGAACTAGTATTCTCATTGAAAGAGGCAGATAGTAAAGAAATTAATGGCCATTATTCCGTGGTGGTAAGTGCTAAGAAGAAAAATAAAGCAGAGGAAGGACAGAGAGTGATGGAGAAGGTGGCCAGGGAAGGCCTCCCTGATGGGTGACCTTGGAGGGAAGTGAGGGAATGCCCTTCAGATATTTGAGGGAAGAGGGTTCAGGTGGAGGAACTGTGGGTGCAGGGGCACTGAGACAGAAGTGCGCTTGATGTGTCTGAGAGCACGAGAGCAGTGTGGCTGGAGCAGACCCAGCAGGGGTGAGGCCGTCTAAGGAGATCGTATCAGTGGGGTAGAAGTGCCTGTATGCCCTGTGTAAATATACACTTTAAAAAACTGGAGTAGCCACCTCTTTGGTGTGTGGGTTTGGCTTAAAACTGGTTTTTTCTTACGTCGTAACACACATGGAGTTTTCCTGAGGTCCCAGCTCCTTCCAGGAAGCCTCCCCTGATGGGTTAGTTCGCACCAGTCAGACCCTCCGCCTGCCTCCTGTGGTGTCGATGCTTAATTGTACATCATTTGTGTTGTCCCTGCATCGGCTTATTGTCTTTGTTTCCCTAGTGAGACTGTAAGCTCCTGGAAGACAGGAGCTGTATTTTCTTTGTGCTTATTCTAATGGTTAGGATGCTGTTCATAATATCTAACAGTTTTGGGTACATAGTAAGTGTTCAATGCTTGTTAAGTTCAAGTTGAAATTTACCTTTTACAAAGCTATAAAAAATCATGAAATTCAGGGGTGAGAGCACCTTCATGAAATTCCCTGATCTTTTGAGTGTCAAAGGCTTACCCTTTTTTACAGGAGAAAGTAATTTCCTGGGGTGAGTTTCCTAAGGCTACTTACTAAATGGAGCTGCAGCTCTAAACTGGGGATTCTAAAGCTGGGCCCTGTGGAGTTAGCTGCTAAGCTTTTGGAGTAAGTCATTCATTTTACTTTAAGCAAGTCTGGTATATATGAAAACTGGGCTTTATAAAACATATTAGGAATGAATTCTTTTGGTCAGCTTTTCTAGTGCATATATACAATTTAACAGAAATTCAATTTCTGTGCAACTCTCTGGGAATGTAGCTGCTGTATAAGGCAGGATGCACCTTAATTATTACCTATAGCTTTCAGCAAAATTCTTTATGGGAACGAAGTGTTGGTATGTGATTCTTACATAGCTGACCAACTGCCGTGAATCCAGGCCAGCTAAGTGGACGCAGCAGCTCTTTGTATTGGCTGTTGATTCTAGAAGTAGGAAGACTTTCTCCCTGGTCTCAGGGAAGGGGCTCCAGTAGCTTGTAAGTGCTGTGTGGGTGCTGTATTTCTTGAAGTAGTTTATCTTCTCATTTGCTTTTTTGGGGTTTCTTTCCTCCTGGGTGGATGTCTCTTTGGACTCTGATTTGGGTCTTTAGTGCTGTCATTTGTGTAGCATTGTAAAAATAATGTGCTTTCCTTCTAAGTAATTTCATGAGCAGTGTCTCACTAAAATTATTGAATTTTTCACTTCTATCTGTCTTAGTCTGCATGAGCTGCCATAACAAGAAAGCCTTGACTGGTGGCTTAAACAACAGAAATTTATTTCTCATGGTTCTGGAGCCTGGAAGTCCCAAGATCAAGGTGCTGGCAGATTGGGTGTCCGGTGAGGGCTCTCTCCCTGGCTTATAGACAGCTGCCTTCTGGCTGTGTGCTCACATGGCCTTCCCAGGGTGCCAGCAGCTAGGGGGCGGGGCGAGAGAGAGAGCGAGCGAGCGAGTGAGCTTCCCTTTCTTCTCTGGGTGCTAATCCCATCCTGAGGGTCCTACCTTGGTGACCTAATCTAAACCTAATTACCTCCCAAAGGCCCCACCTCCAAAGACCATCACATTGTGGGCTAGGGCTTCAACACACGAATTTGGGGGCCAGGGGGACACAGACGTTCAGCCTATAACACTACCAGAGTGGTAAATATTGTAGATGGAGAAACTGAGGCAGAGTCACAATAAAAATCACACATTTTTGTCAAGCCTCGCAGGGAAGACTACGAATGTAAAATGTTTTTGTAAAATGTGTTTGAGAAGGAGAAAGTAAGATCTGAATTCACAG